TACCGACCCCCTTGATATTTAGTGAGGTGATTGAATAACGCCTAAGGGTGTGAGAAAAAAATTAGCATATCCGGAAAAAAAACTGTTCAAATGGGTCAAACAGACCAGTCGTATTTCCCTATATAATCTTTGTATTTTATGTGAAAAACAGGGTAATTTTAACACAAACTATTGGGTATTTAGCCTCTTTATATCTGGATACATTTTTTTGCGTGCACATCTATAAATGACTAGGCCGTATTGAAAACCTGTTGGTCAGATTCAAAGCTCTCAAAGAGGGCTGAAACATGACCGCGAGTGAAATTCTCATTATAAGATATATAAAATATATATATATATATATATATATATATATATATATATATATATATATATATATATATATATATATATATATATATATATATATATATATATCACTTTTATTTGCAATTAAAACAAGTACATCAACATCACATTTTTTACATAGTTTCAAATGAAATGAAAGGTTTTGAACATGTACATAATGAATATTTACATGATGTCATGTATATGATTATAACAAAAAAAATTACAAAGGATGACAGTAAAAGGGGTGAAGATCAAATAAATGTGTCAGAAGTCTGGGTGGGGAGTGGTAAGGATATTTTTCAGAGAATGTCAATGGAACAGTGGAGTATTTTCTATGTAGGGAAACAAATTAAGTTGACTAGTTAAAAGAGTGTTTATTTATGTACTGGTCGCATTGAGTTTTCAAAAGGTTGCTGTGTGACAAATGAGGGGAAAGAAACAAGATTTAGAACTTTAAATAAGTAAATGAATAGATATTCGAAATTGATGTTGGGGTGGGTGGTGGGGTCGTTGGAACAGTTGAAGGGAAAGTGGGGTTTTCATGTCTGAGGGTAAGTGGATAGAGGGGGAGAGGGGGGAGTGGGTAGATGTGTCTGACGAGGCGTGGAGAGGGTGTCTGCGTGTTTTTAAGGCAAGCCAAGCGTCAAATTATGAGCTGTGTTATGTGACTGCTGAGGTGTTACCATTTATAGTGTGTGTGGGTGGGGGGGGGGGGGAGGGTTTGACGAACAGATTGCTGTGTGAGCGATTTAGTGGGAGGGTGAAAGGTTGGTATGTTCAAGTCGGTGTTAAAGTTTAGTTGAATGTTTAGTACCGACAGGTTAGGGGTGTGTAGGCATGTAGCTATCACATGGTTTGGGGATACAGTTCAGTTTTAAAGGTAAAAAAATTGGTGTTCACATAAAAGAGTTAGTAAAGTTAACAAAACAACTGTAAGTGTTAATGTGGTGATAATAAAATGAATACAAAAGGAGTACGGGTCATTGGGGTCATTTTGTACGTTGTGGACCAAAGTACCTTACATATATGATAATAGTAATATAGTCACAAATGATGGCTTTACAATGTTTGTAAGCTTTATAAATAAAACAATACACAAAAAGCAACAATAGGAAAATGAATGGCAAATGATAAATGGTGCGACACAAAGTGTGGACATGGGGGTTGAGGGGTGGTAGTTACATTGATGTTGTTAGAAATGTATTTGGATAATACATTATTTTCACTATTAAACATAGTATTTCATCACAGGGGTGGGGGTCATGGGGACGAGGGGATGCAGTTTTGAGGGGAAATTTGATATTGGAATCATGAGGTTAAGGGCGGGGGGGGGGGGTGGGGGAGGGTGTGATGAAAGGGGGATGTGTCAGTTCGATTAGGCGTTCCAGGTGGCAAATATATATATATATATATATATATATATATATATATATATATATATATATATATATATATATATATATATCTAATATAATTATAAAGCTCAATTCTGTATGTAACATGTCATAAGTTTGTTTGTCGTTGACATACTTCGATGGATTTAAGTGTTAGACTATTACCGTGCTCATAGTCTAAATTTAGGAGTTAAAAACTTAGTATTGAAAGTGTTGGGAAATAGTTTTCATTTTTTAAACTGATAGTAATAATTGTCGGCATGTTCATTAAACACAATTAAAAAAAAATAACAAAAATTCTAATTATGTCTGAAAATTATTTATATTTAGTCCTTTAGCACTTACTTCCCTTTGATAAATTAGGAAAACACAATTACTTCCCTTTATAAAACATTGCATTAGTGGAAAAGAATTTACTTTTTATTACTTTTAGTGTTGGGAAAAAATAATTACATAATTAGCAGGGATGGATCAAGTGCAAATGTTGTAGGTATTTAACGAATAAGCTTGGAGTATTATAATTGTTCATCTGGTTTGGTTTGGCACCTACGTTCGTTTATGTGAGTGCAAAAGACTATGAATAAGTTGGGGTACTATAGTCGATTATTAAGCTGAAACCGGCGATTCTGCACCGGGCTAGACTGTGAGCACTTTGCGTTTATGTTCGCGTTAGTGTTTTCTTTGTGTTTAGGTTGGGTTTGCGTTAGTGGTTGCGTTTTGATTTGGTTCATTTTTGTTCTTTCTTTTTTCGTTTTCGTTTGTGTTTTTTTCTTTGGATTTGTGTTTGTATTTGTGTTTGTGGTTGGTTTTGCGTTTGGATTTGGTTTGTTTTCGTTTGCTTTTTCGTTTGTTTTTTTCTTTGTGTTAGTATTGGTGTTTGTGGTTGTGGTTGGGTTTGCTGTTAGGTTTTTGTTTTCGTTTGTATTTGTAATTGTGTTAGCGTTATGTTTGCGTTTTGTTGTTTTGGTTGGTTGTGGTTTGGGTGGGGAATGCCGGGCTTATGATGATTACTAAACACACAGGTAATGGTCTTTAACAGAAAGGTTTTTCAAAGAAGCCAGAGCAGGGCCTGGCCGGGACGGCTAGTATATATATATATATATATATATATATATATATATATATATATATATATATATATATATATATATATATATATATATATATATATATATATTTATATATATATATATATATTTATATATATAAATAGACGAACAATCCCCCTAATATTTTGTGTGGTCCTATACCGACCCTGGAGAGTAACAAAAATATATTATTCCCGACGAAAAAACACCTTAGGGTCGTTAGATTTGTCAAGATGACGCATTTTTTGTTAATATAAACAATTGTTTGTGAAAAAGTAAATTAAGACTACGTCATTTGGTCTATGAACAAATGCCGTAATTTCTAATAAAACAATTGTTTGTAAACAGAAAGTTGAACAAAGACAACGTCATTTGGTTTCGGTACAAAGGGAGTTAATTTTTGAATAACTAATTTTAAAATTATTTTTTTTATTATTTTTAACAAAAGCAGAAATAAAAAAAGTATAGCATTTATTGAAATAGAAGTTTCGTTATCAATTAAGTTATTTATCGTAATTTAATTGTAAACCTTAATTTTTAAAGGTAATGTAATATAATATTTTAGTTATACAATTAAGTAAGCCCTAGATACGAATCACCTTGCCAGTAATAAGTTTGCGAATAATTCCACTAACTATTTTTTGGTATGAAATTACTCAGACTGTTTAAATGTATCAACTCTTTATTACAGCTAATCACTAATTAATTTCTCATTATAATTCTGACTTTTTTTTTGAAAACACAAGCAAAGCTAGGCAGTATGCCTAGCATTAATATATAATAGACATACTCTAGTGCTATATGAATATGGAGCTGATTCAAAAATTTGAAAAAAAAATTGATACCCGTAGTTTATCCAGAGTAGTCTTCTAATACGTATATGTATAAATGTTTTTTTTTTAAATTAATATTATCTAAGGCAAATTTATTTGAAATATCCTTTCAATGCCACAAATATGTTGGCATCACGAATCTAAATATAAGGTTATTTTTATTATTTAAAATCGAATATGTTTAAAACTTTAAAAAAATACGCGTTTTATTGTATTTTTTATCTTACAGTACGTCGTGACAAGGCAAGAAAGAGAAGATTTAATCTGAAGACCCTTCCAGCAATCAGAGTAGAGTCTTTTCCTCCATCCATGGACAGTAACGGATATCTGTTACCCGTTGACCCCAATGGTGGCTACGCCCAGATTTCAGATACAGCAACATATTCAGAAAACTACTACAGTTCTATCAACGAATTGGACTTCATGAATGAAGGTGCTGCAAGTGATGGACAGTCCGAGATCACAACTGGACTTGACGAGAATCAGGCGGGTGATGTGGACTGTTTGTCCGATACTGAAACGAAAACAGATTTAAAGTTCGACAATAAGATGTATAAACAACTTGACGCTAAGAGCGATGGAGAAGTTGATAGAACTGTAGATAAGAAGCTTGATGTTAATATGGATGGAGAAATTGACATTGAGACGATAGGTCACGTTGACAGAAAGACAGATGGTCAGCTTGACAAAGAGACTGACGGTCAACTTGAGGAAACAAAAGATGATAAGCTTGATGTTAAGAGCGATGGACAAGTTGATAGAACAGTAGATGATAAGCTTGATGTTAAGAGCAATGGAGAAATTGACTTTAAGACAATTGGTCACCTTGACAGAAAGACAGATGGTCACCTTGACAGAAAGACAGATGGTCACCTTGACAGAAAGACAGATGGTCACCTTGACAGAAAGACAGATGGTCACCTTGACAGAAAGACAGATGATCACCTTGACAGAAAGACAGATGGTCAGTTTGACAAACAGACAGACGTTCAACTTGAGAAAACAAAATATGTTGAGCTTGACATAAAGAGAAACGAAGACTTGGACATTAAGAAAGATACAGAGCAAAAAACAAGTACAAACAAACAGCTAGACAAAGATCAGCAAAACGAATCTATACCAGCCGATGGGTTAAACGACTACGCCAAGCTGTATGACACCCCTGGAAATGTTTTTTCGCCGGAAGTAAATACATATGTAACTCTTAAATTTTAAAGCTTTATATTTCCTCTTAACATATTCCAGATAGTGTGATTTATCATTAGACGTACAGAATGTCAATTAAAATGTTACAGTAAAAGAAAATCACACCCATTATGGAAAAACGTAAACATACTTAGCTCATCAATATTTTTTTGGAGAAAATGTGTGCTAAAGTTATGTAGTATTTTATCAGATTCTTTTGTATCTTTGTTTCTTGTCTTGTTATAGCAAACTAAACATTTTTATACTCGTAACTTAACATTATTGATATGCCTTTAGAGTAGTCTATGAGATGTAAAATGTATCAGAATTTAGGGTTGTTCTTTTAATATAATTGTAATGTATTTAAGTATACGTATTTTGAAATTATCTTCATTTCATGTATTGTAATTTTTGATGAACCTACTTGAATGTTTTAAAATTGAACATAGGGAATGTAATTTAAGAATCAATCGGCTTTATAGGCCTATATATATATATATATATATATATATATATATATATATATATATATATATATATATATATATATATATATAAATATATATATATATATATATATATACAGAGAGAGAGAGAGAGAGATATGGATAGATATATGTATAGATTTATAGATATATTGTGTCGCAAATTTACATTTTTTTTTATTTTTAGAGTTATATTACAAACTAAGCAAACAAACATAGCCTACATAATGTTGTTGTCGATGTATTATTCTATTTTGTAAATAAAAATATTTGACAAATTACTTAGAAAAACAAAGTGTTGCTTAAGTAGTAAAATGTCTTCTGATTCGACAAGTATTATTATATACAAGTTTTGTATTGTAAAAGTGCACATTAAATAAATAAAACCGCAATAAAAACCAAATGTTTAAGTTGCATTTTATCTGCAGTTTTAGCATCTCAAAAAAAGGCTTCAAAAACAGTGTTTCATCGAGACTTTTTCTCCGGGGGGGGGGGGGGGGGCACTTGAAAGAGCAAAGCCCCCCCCCCCCCCCAAGGAGATGCCTGGAAGAAACTGTTTAAAAGTCAATGAAGTTTTACTAAACTTTGAAGAAAATATTTTTAAAAATATGGCGAGTGTTAAAATTACAGTTACATTTTAAAAAAATGAAATCCGTTTGGGAACCATCGATTACACTCATTTTCATATTTTGTATTTGATATGAGCTGTTGAAACCAGTTTAGAATTCTTTTATCCAATAAAATATTTTTAAAAAAACGCCTTCAACCTCTCTTTGAAGTCAAATAAAAGTCACAACAATTATTTACAATGATAAAATACACAAAAGTGATCAATGGTTTATAGCCTAGTAATCCATTTAAATTAAATAATATAGCATCCCCTATCAAAACAAAAACAACACCATGACTCAACAATTCCAAATTAAAACTCAAGCAAAGACTACACAGATCAATGAGATCGATCTGTAGGTGGTTGACTGTCTATAATGCAGCAGGAACAGTACAAACAGCAGATGCACAGGCGCTGAAGTGGACATACTTTGTGAAAAAAATAAAGCAACTCGCACATGCTATATCTATACTTGTGATGAGTTATTTAAAAATGTGATATTTAGGATACATAACATGACAGTTTTTAATTCGTAGTTTCAGTACTGTGTTTTCTGTTGTTATTGTTGATTTTTGTGTGTTGTGCAGCTTGTTTTACAATTTTTTGAATTAATCTCCAAAAAATGGCCACACTATCCTTGAAATTGTCGTAGGTGTATAGCCGCTCCCCCTGCTCCTGCCCCCTGATTACGCTATTGATGTGATAAGGCTTATTGCAATGAGTTAATGAATATGTATCTGATCATGATAGCCTCTCCTTAAAACTCATCGTATTTGTATTGGGAGAAATGAAGCTGTGGTTGAGCGCTAGACTTTTAACCAATCAATCTCGAGTTCGAGTCCGTGTGTCCACCCAACTCTTATTGTTCAGAGGACAGGCATAGAGTCCATATGCTGCTGTCAAGAAACAAATTAACTCAACGTTATATGTCCATTGGTTAATGCTAAAAGGTGGCTACTGAAATCATAAATAATGTTGAAACAAGTAATATATAGGAGAGAGTAAGTCAACTTGCAATACACACGCAATAAACATTGTATACCAAAGTCTGATCAGTGCTACTGTTTGACCACAGACTACTAAGAGTTTGCCATTATTTCGTTCATCCAAGTTAGAAGCCCTTCTATTTACTTGTCTATTTACTGGGTTAGAGCTCACTTCCTTTGTGCGGCTATATGACACGTTTTGTGTATTTAATGTGTTGTATTTGTTGAACATATTTTATACATTTATATTCGTGCAGTTTTTCTAAATAAGAAATGTAACTCTATTAAACCATAGGCCCTTCCCTACGTGTATTATGCTTAACAGGGCTTCAAAGATCAATGTTTGCGTGAACTTTTATTTGTCATGAAAGGGAGGATATACATTTTGAAATATTTATTTATTTCCCCTTGATACATTTAAAAAACGACATACTATATTAAATAAATTGCCTCCTTTCTACACATTGTTTAGAATGGTTAATAATTTTAGGCATATAGGCTACCAGCATACGTTGTTCCAAGTGTTCTGTATATGTGCTGGTGTTGCAGTGGGGGATGGTGAGTGGGGCTTAGACGTTCAGATAAATAATAACAGCACTTGAAGTTAAGATATTTTTAAGTGTCTATTCTACGATAACTTACTTCCCTCTTCACATATTCTCTTCTCTCTTGTGAAAACTAAACACGGCTATGTGTTCATCTTTTAAATCATCATTACTTCATTTAAAATATTCACATAATTGTCAAATAAACGGCCGTTTTAGCAAGTTAGAGATCAATTTTAGAGATAATTATATGCCTGTCAATTTGTCTCACATTTGACAAGCAAAAACGACAAGTCTGTATCTAAATAATAATTATCCATTTCACCAACAGGCCTATTGCAATACCATTTTTAGAATCACTACTGCAGGAAAAAATGATTATATCTCGATTCTAAGAACATATTAGGATGTAAAACAGGACCTCATGCAACTCTTGCTGTAAGCCAAGCTCGAATGTACGAGTGGCACGTATTACAACATGCTAACTACTCCACCATCTGATAGGTGCTTTCGCAATTCGAGAAGAGAAAGCTTGCTTATAATAACGCAATTGTTTTCTGTAAGAGTGGAAAATGAAGTGTCAGAAATTGACACACTAACTTGTAACATGCGAACGTTCACTAAAATTAGATTGTTCTACAGCGATGATATAGAATGTGGGGGTTGGGGGGGGGGGGGGGGGGGGGAGGGGTCATTGACTTGAAGATAAGAGATTAGAATTGAGTCTGCGAAACGAAACGTTAAGTGGAGGGGAAAGGATTAGTGTAGACATGCTCTCAATAAATGCAACATCAGCATACTCATAAAACAAGTTAATAAAAAGTCTAGTGACAATTTAAGCGCAATTTCCTTATGATATCCATAACAATTTTTTATTTTTTGTGACCGAACGAAAGGATATTTTTTGCGCTAAAAACCTACACGATGCTCAGTTTAAATTAAAAATATCATCCTATGCCTACACGATGCTCAGTTTAAAAATTCTTAATTCATTTTTTGTGACCGAACGGAAGGATATTTTTGAAAACTTTTTTCGGCAATATTGTTCTAAATTATGACAGGAATCGATTGGTAAATGTTTCAAGTCGCTAAGTGGTCTGGTTGCCGAGATATGGGCCAAAACCTGTATTTTTTCGAGGTTTTTTTGGCTTTTCCGGGAAATCCAGGAAGGAATTCCGGGAATTTTTTTGGCCCACAATCATCCTCGGAACTTGCTTAACATATTTGCTAGTCCTCGATATTGCTTCGTTGAGGAGGAGATACGACTTAAAGCTGCGGACACACATCCATCCATCCATCCCTCACCAGAAATGACGAGTTAATAATCGCAATTGTCCAGTATGGAAATTGCGCTAAAAAGTAGCAATCGTTTACATAAATTAAGTCCTAATTTAGTTAATCCCTATGTAATATATTTAATTATACATCATCAGACACCAAATTTTATTCCTAGTAAAACTATTGATAATAATATTGCATTAAAATATGTGTAATCCTGCCTATCGTTGCTACATTGAAGTTTTTATTCTATTAGATTTTTACCACACAAAACGTGTCAAGGTACAGAGGCCTAAATGTGTTCGCGTTGAAAGAAGTCTCTACCGAACAATTAAATATTACATTTCAGCTTATAATGCGTAGTATATCCACCCAAATTAGACTTTAGCTAAAATTTCTTGCTGGAATTATTTTCAAAGAATCTGGTTCATTAAACAACGTTGCCCTCCTCAGATAAAAGAACCTCTGGGCGTTGAAACTTGGTTCTGTATGTTTAGTAATCTTGAGCTCTCTTGCAATCAGTAGCTAAGTGTTAGCAAAAGTTACTATTCATATAAGGGGTCACCCATTAACGACGTCATGTTTTATTAACGAAGAAGCTTCCACCTTCACATTGGTGTACAACGTCACAACGTCCACCCCCCCCCCCCCCCCATCTAAAATGACGCCAAACCGAAGGTAACTGTTTCCTTTCTTTAAGAATATCAACGGCTCAGGAAGTATCTCCCACTAATCAGGCTACAATGTTGCTGTCTTTTTTTTCAAAATGTTTTATTTATAAAATCACGAGCCAAACCGCAGAGTATTATACGCCGCTATTTAGTTGTTTTATTTTCTACTTTTCAGTAATTCATAATTTGTGAATTCGACAGTAACACTGCTGCCACTGAAAATTTTTGCTTAAAAACACTATCAGTAGCTCGTTAAGGACGATAACCCCCCCCCCCCCCCTACCCTCCTTTTCCCCACCCCCACCCCCCCTGAAAGCAGCCTCCTTTTAGTTACCTCCCCTAAGTTTAAAATTGTTTTAAATTAAATTATCTGCCCCTAATAGCCGTCACTAAACCCGGCTCTACAAATGTAAACATTTAGCGTGAACCACAGCGCACCAGACCATGTGATAGGCCTAGAGAGGAAGAGAGGGGACTGCAAGGCGCGCTTACAGTTTGATGTTTTCTAATGTTTCCAAGAAGAGAATTATATATATAGATTACTGATCTCGGTCAACAGGATTGTGTTGATCATTTTTCATTACATCTCAGAAAT